ATATATGTATGTGTTTTTACATTGCAATGGGAATAAAAAATGTGCAGTTTTGAAATTTCCTGTTTTTAAAAATTCATGTGGGCTGAGCGTTTTGAGACTCCCACTCTTTCCCCGATAGGTTATGTTGACACTGAAAATTATTTAGTCTTTTTTTCGCCAACCTGTTTTGCTATTTACTGGACTAATCCGTACAATGAATAAATAACCATTCTAAAGGCAAACCCTCGAATAGAGAACATGTAATAATGTCCATTTCCACACCTAAACTAAACAGTTTGCTATTTGTTAAAAGTTTGCTATTTGTCTGAATTGGTTTTTGTTATTAAGTTTGTTTTTTTGTTTGCCTTCCTCTGCTCTATGTTCAAAACATAAAAATAGTTTGGAATTAATACATAATTAAGATATCTGCGACATCATTCTATGTTGAGTAGGGCGGTTGTATCATTGAGATTAGCAGCAGGCCAGAAGGGTCTGACTAAGTACAGCTCAAGTGGCAAAGTTCCTGTTGGAATATAAATGTTCCCAGAATGCAAATAAAATTGTTTCGAAGAGGTTTTTATATTTTTGTATATAGCACATGTACATATATACGAGTATAACAAGAAAAACGTAAGATCGAAGGGACAAAGGACATTCTAGCGCCTGTCTCGCATGAAAGCAATATTGGTGTTTTAAAGAAGGAAGTTGGCGCTTGTTGCACATTTTTTGACTGAAACATGGTATTTTAACTATCAAGGAGAGCGCCCCCATATTTTCCTGATTTTTCTCCATATGGCCATTACTTTTTCGGAAAATTGGGGGAAAAGAAAGTCGAAGCCATTCAAAGGACATGTCAGCCAACGGGCTAAAACAATCGCGTTTAAATGCTTCTTGAGCATGTATTGGGTCGGAAAGTGATTATTTATAAATAAATTATATTAAATAAGCCCTTCTCAATTACGTGTTCCTATTTGTAAAACGCCCAATTTACTTTGGAACGCATCTTGTTCATATGAACATATAATATATTGTACTTGTATGCTCCGGCATCCTTCCTAATTGGTGTTAAAGGCTTACACACGAACAACAATATACCTTTACACATACTATTTGTAGAGAGTATAATTAGGAATATATATATAATTGGGTGAAATGCTTCCTTGAATTGAGACAAAAGCTTAAGACTTTTATAGTTTGTTTGTGACATAAACACACAAGTAACAGCTTTATTTAACAAAGAAAGGCAGATTTAATATTTTCACATATGTAAGTATTCTCGCAAGTATTGCCCGAGGCTTGTGACAAATGTAAGCAATACTACTTATAAACCAGATAAATGCACAAGTGTGCGAGTACAGACAGAAACTGACAACGACTACAATTTTGCATTTCGCATACAACAGAGCGAACGAAACTGCCAATAATTTGATAGCGCATGTCCTCACAAGGAACGAGCAGCGAGCAACAAGGAACGGGCCACGAGGAACGGCAACAATGTGTTTCAAACTTTACAAATTTATAAAAATTGGCATTTTCGACAGCTTTTGATTACAGCTTCAATTCAGTACAAAAGTTTACTTTTTGTTAGCCTCGCACTCCGTATACGCTTTACTCCATATCCGGTTTATTTGTTTTTGTTTTTATTTTGATGCTACCTTCACAATTTCAGACTACGTGTGTACGGTGCGGTTGTTGGTGTAGGTGTAGGTGTAGGTGTGGGTGTAGGTGTGGGCCTGGGCCTGGGCGTGGGTGTGGGTGGGTGTGGCGATATGTGCTTCAATTTTGCATTTTTCCAAACGAACATACTTGTACTGCCAATATCAGAATTCGTTGCAATCACAAAAAGAATGATAGAAACACCATTATTCCGGTCGCAGCGAACTGAAATTGTTTATAAATTGAAATTGAAACCGCGGAAAATGACAAAAAATTGTAGACGCATAGATAGGTAGAGAAGCCATTCAAATAAACCCCCGATTAACTTGTTCAATATCCGCCACCTAGTCAAATGTAGTTCGTATTTACAGTCAATTGGTGTACTCGAATAACTATTTGGGAGCTGAGAGTCTGAGAACAATTAGGATATAATCGGCCTCAAAATGAACAAAATAAACGTGAGAATACAAGTAAATGTATATTTACTTATAAATGTTTAAGGTTTAAGGTTCAGGAGTTACTTGCGAGATTTTAAAAATAAATTCACATCACACATTCAACACCAGTGCGGAATTGAAATAAGATTGCAAGATTGTTTATAAATAATATGAATGTATTATTTATTTTATTTTATATAAAATAAAAATATATCAATGTCTTTTCGAACTATAATTTATATTTTGAGCGTTATTATATTTATGTTTCATTTCGAATTGAATTCAAATATAAAATGAAAATATCTCAATGCCTTTTCGGACTATAATTTATATTTTAAGCGTTATTTATTATATTTATATGAACCTAGACGAAAACATGTTTTGTCGAAGAAGGTATATTTCAATGTGTAGATTAGATTAGATTAGATTGTTAAGTAGATAGTAGATTAGATCATTAAATCTCATTTTGATTTGTACATAATAATTTTAAAAGTATGCATATAGCCACACCTTATATTCTTATTTATTTAATACGTTTATTTTCAAGTAAATAATACACGTTCATTAAAAGTCAGGATTACGATTACTTTATGTGTCAATAAGATTAAGTAAAATACTAAGACACCCTTTTTTGATTTTAAAACATTTTTGTTGTAAAACATATCTGTTGATTTGCTTCCTAATATGAACCTCTTTTTCTATGAACCTTAATTTTTAAAAACATCGGTTTTTTTTAAACAAAATTTCAACAATTTTCAATTTTCAACAAAAATTTGAGGTAGTATGAGAATTGTGGAGAACCACTAATAGCGGGGGAATGGAGTGGTGGATGAGGAAGAAACAGAAACTTGTCCTGTCTGCTTCTGGCTTAAGAGAGTATGACAAATTTGGTTGGCGATCATTCGGTCATGGCTACTTCGACTTAAGCGTCACACTGATCACAAAATTTATACGCCTTCTTCCAGCATTGAGTTCTTTTTAATTTTACTCTACTTATTAATTTGATTATGATTATTATTAGAATTGTGCAATTATGACTTGTATCATGAATATTAATATATTTATCATAAACAAGCTATACTCTTCCGAGTTGCGCAATAACTATTAAAACAACTTTACACTTACACTGACAAGCACTTATTAAGCATTGTTTAAGACTTTCCTATAATAAAGATTACGAGATAAACCAAAACAATCACTTCTGAGGTGTTAACTCTTAAATAAACAAGAACGAATATCCCTTTAGAGCGTAAATAGAATCCCATTTACGAATACACGGACACGCCACCAACTCAAACAAATCCACACCAGCCATAAGTATTTTCTTAATGCTCTCCAAACTTTGCTGACATGTTGCAAGTTGCACAATTTTTGCACCCTCTGCCTCATTATACACACAAGTGTGTGCCGCCAAATTGCCGTGAGTTAGTTTCGCCGGTGAATTAACTCTGGCGCCAGAAAGTTGACACACGAATAATTAAGTCGGGAAGTGCAGATGCAATTATGCAATATTATCTTGCCAATTTCTTTACACTCTGTGGCTGCGTCGACTGGCTGCTCAAAGTTTTAAGTCACTTGTTCGTCACAAACACACAGAGGCTGGATTATCGTAAATGGGACCTACATACATACTATACATACATAGTTGTATGTACATATGTACATACAGGCGTGTACAAGAAACATCATTAAGGAGAACATTTGATTGAAAACGGCTGCTGAAAGCAGCACAATTTTGTCGCAATTAAATACCAAGTTCTTTCCATTTCATAGCTATAAAAAAAAAAAAAAGGTTGGGTCCACTTTAAAATCAATATTTGACCATCTTGACCATCAAATGTACTATTCCTGTCAAAAAAAGAAACAATTTCGTGCTTAAGTCGTTGGTATCGAAGTAAAAAAAATACAGTCGGCTGGGAAATTCTTATACCAGACCTAAATCACAGCTTGGGATCAGAAGTGGAACATCCGACTAAGCCCGGTCAAATGCCGAAATGCGTGTTCATGATCTAAATCTGGAGACCGTAGAGACTGGAATCAAGCGCCATACTAGTCGCTACAACGAACGATTGTTATTGTAATAGTTAATTGTTTTGCTAAGAAATGGAAATAAAACAAGTAGAGAAGTTAAAGTCGGGTATGCTGACTTTGAAATACTCTGTACATATGTGTAGAATAATTATGCGTGTATGTGTGTATTTGTGTGTGTCTGTGTATGTCTCGTGTACATGAGCAAAGCAGTAACAACAACAACAGCTGCGGGCATCGGCCTATCATGATGAAACTTGGCATTTGGACTTATAATAACTAAATGGAGGTATTTGCCAAGTTTGAGTTCGAAACTCCAAGAATCACGGGAGTTACGATTTGCGTGGGAGAGGGGGGAGAGGGAAATTCCAAAATACACATTTTCTGCGTATTCACATAATGCATCTTGGACTAAAATTTGATGTCCCTAGGTCTTATAGTCTCCGAGATATAGGCGATAATACAAATGAAAAATCGGGAAAACACCCATAGAAGGGAAATGGGGGGGAAAATCAAATCAAAAATGCACAGCGTACACACATAAGGCATCTTTGTGCAAAATTTGGTGTCTCTAGCTCTTATAGTCTCTGAGATGCAGGTGTTCATACGGACAGACGGACGGACAGACAGACGGGGCTAGATCGACTTGTCATGCTAATCAAGAATATATATACTTTGTGGGGTCTGCCACGCCTCCTTCTGCCTGTTACATTTTCAGCTCCCGCAAACCTAATATACTCTTGTACATTTCATGTACAGAGTATAAATATTTATGTATTTATTATTTTTATTTATTTATAATATACAAGTATATTAGTTACTTAACACTCTTGACTTATCTGTCTGCCATGACCAAGACAAAAAAAAAAAAACTTTTCAACTATTCGGTCGCACAGAAACAAAATCTCCGAAACAAAAATCAACTCATTAACAATAAAAAACGCCAACAACAGCAAAAAGTACATATATCTTTATCAAAATTAGTTCCGTTATCTGAAAGCCCAACTCCATTTTGGCAAAACACAATCAACACCAACACACACAGACAGACAGACAGCCAGACGGAGAGACAGAGAGACAGAGACTCACCCTCTTTCGATTTTCTAGGCCGGATTTGAGAAATGGCCAGCGAACGCAGTTGCAACAAGCTCGGCGGCAAGGAGGGCCACAGCTTTAGCAGAATTGAGGCCTTGGCCATCAACTCGAAGATGGCAAAGAAGACAGAGAACAGCAGCCAGAGCCAAGTGCTGGAGCAGGCGCTCAGCAATGTGGTGGAGCATGCAAAGCGTTTGAATCTTAGCAGCGTCGACCGTTTCATGATGTCGTCCAAAATATGCGAAAGTGCCAAAAACATTGGCAAAATGCCAAATGATACGATGAGCGCTCTGCTGCCAAAGAAACCCAGCTTCCCAGCTATAAGGCGTCGCAGATGTCCTTGCTCGATGAAGCAGACGGTGAAGACGCCGCGAGCTGAGCCACAGACATCCGCTGTACCAGCGGCGCCACAGCCGCCACCGCCACCACCACCTCCGTCGCCGCGCTGCGCACCGGCCCAGGAATTGTGCATAGCTATGGATTTGGCCGATAACCTTATCAAGGAGTACAAACAGACCGAGCAGTTGACTAATCAACTGCTGCAGGACGCTTTGAGCATTAACCACGATCTGCTCTCCTATTGGGAGTATCAGCGTGACATCGAACTGGTGCGCGAAATCGAGTTGGAAAGCAATGCACGATCCGTGGAGGCCATTATAGATGGATTGAGCAAGGAGTACGAGTGTCTGGACTTCGGCTTGGAGCACAAGCAGAGGAGATTCAACAGCCGCTTTCTGCGCGCCAATAGCACACAAACAGAAACGACGGCCAGTTCCCCCGGTTCCCCATCTTGCCTGCAAACAGCCACAAAGTTGGCAATGGCAATGCCAATCCCAAAGGCATCCATGGTGGCCAGCACGCAAACCGAACAACATACAATGCTGGCCATACCCACACAGACACAGACACAGATGCAGCGGCACGAGCCATGCGAGCGCATCGAACATGCCATCAGCAACATGCGCAGCCTGGCTCTGCCACCGTCTCTAACTCTGCCATGTGGGCGTGGCTGCCAGCTGGACAGCCTCCCAGCAGTCACCACATCGAGCTGTTGCTTCCGCCCCATAATGAGCGAGTATCGCGAGCGTGTGGATGAAGTGCGCCAACTCATGCCCATGGTGGTGAGCGCCAGCGCTGTGGACATGGATGCAGCTATGCAGGATATGCGCCTTCAGCAGCTCCGCGTACAGTGCCAGCGCAATCTCATATTTCATGACATGATGCGATTCGCCGAAGAAGAGCTTCTCCAGTTATTGCAGCAAAGCACAGATAACAAAACGGAAACGGTGGCTACTTTTGCAGAGCCAGTCGGCAATGGAATCGCCACCGCTACCACAACCACCACCACCACCACCAATCTGGCCTCCATGCTGGAACAGGCCGTCGACAAAATGAGAAAGACTGCTGACAGTGGAAGTGCTTCAAGGAAGTGCACCACTGTACTGGAATCGGGAACCGTGGGCGATGTGGAGCTGACCAACAAATCGCTAAAAGCTCAGTCATTGGAGTTGGAGTTGAAGACTCAGCAAAGCGAAGAGGCACCGCCAACATCCACCACTCACATTTGAATTGTTATTGATTGTAAATAAAATCTAGCAGTTCAACTTATCGAAATTTCCAAACATTCTGCTGTAAGATTCAATCCTCGAGCTTCAAAAGCAACTAACGGACGCCTAATGGTTCAATGCTCGAATTTTCACGAAATGACCAACTTTATGTGCTAAGCTCTGGCTTATTGGAGTATAATGGAGTACCGAATATTACGTATACCCGAAAATTGAAAATGTGGGCTGTGGAAGAAAAATGTGTGTTTGTCCACGCTCAAGCCACCGCGCACTTCTTAGCAGACCTTCTGTCAGGTGTGGTTGTATGTAAACTTCTATATAGATTCCAATTCCCATAATTGGCATTTTCATACTCTGTACATGAAATTTACAAGGTCTTATAGTCTCCGAAATATTGGTGATTATACATACGAACGGCGTTTCCGAAAATCTCCCATTGGAGGAAGTGGGGGAAAACTCAAAAAAATAAAACAAACTCATGAAGCGTACACACATAAGGCATCTATATGCAAAATTTGGTGTCTCTATCTCTTATAGTTTCTGAGATCCAGGAGTTCATACTGACGAACAGACAGACACACAGGGCTAGATGGACTCGTCTCGTTATGCTGTTATGCTCGTCTTGTTATGCTGAGGTCTGCCACGCCTTCTTCTGTCTGTTACATTTTTCAGCTCGCGCAAACCTAACATACTCTTGTACATTTCATGTACAGAGTATAAAAGTAACAGGCTGATAAAAACCAGTAATCAATCTGTAACCAATAATTTAAGTAGCTTGCATGCTCCCCTACAATACCATAGATAGTACGCACATCAGAAGAAATCCCCTAATGGGTAATAAATAAGACACATACGTATGGTATTATTATATACATACATATAGTATTATATATTATGAGCTCTAAGCAATAACCTACCAGATAAGCACTAGAAATATTGGCAGTATAATTTTTTTTTTTTTTTTTTTTTTTTTTTTTTTTTATATGATTTTATATGATAATACTTTAATTTTACTGTTATTATTTACAACAACTTAAATTAAACTTATAGAAATATACAAATACAGCTTAAACTAGGAGTTCAGTCTTATTTAATTATTTATATCATTTAATTATTATTTATTTAATCTTATATTAAATAAATCTATTAGGAAGATCGGCAGGGTGTGATCTCTTCAGCCTCCTTCTTATTACTCTTGTTCCTTTTCGTCGCCGTTTCAGCAGGCGCCTTGCTAATACATTCACATGGGTTCGCAGACGCTCCATGTATTGCTCAGCCTGCTTATTTAGCACGTCTCCAACTTTTTGCACCCCTAGATCCCTTTCTATGTGTGCCGTTTTCATGTACCAGGGGGCATCTGTTAGGAGGCGAAGGGTTTTCGCTTGCAAGACCCGGATTTTCTGCAGGTGTGACTTTGCAGCGATTCCATAAACTTGTAAGCCATATCGCCAAGAGGGAGCGATGCAGGACTTATAAACAGTCACTTTGTTTTTTAGTGACAGTTTTTTGTTGGTTAGGAGCCATCTCATATTGTTTATTCTAACACTTAGTGTCTTTACAACAGAGCATATGTGCTCTCGAAATGTGAGGCGCCTGTCCAAAAGTACGCCCAAATATCTGTAGCTCTTGGTGTGATTCAACAGCTGGTTCTGTAAGGAAACGCCAGGACAGCTCATCCTGCGCAGTGCGTAGGTGACATTGGCGCACTTGCTTGCGTTGATGCCAATATTCCAGCGATTTGCCCACATTTCGAAGCTCTCTAGGTACTGCTGCAAAATATCTGTGGCTTCAAAGATATTCTTGTTTCTAGCCAGGATAGCCGTGTCATCTGCGTAGGTAGCTATTAGAAGGTCCTTCGGGTCTTCAATAGGAATCATAGTGCCAGTGGGCATATCATGTGTAAATAAGGTATAGAGGGTGGGCCCCAAGACACTGCCTTGCGGAACTCCAGCTCTAATACCCCTGACACTGGATTCCTCTCCATCCAGCACCACCGTGAAGGTCCTATCTGCGAGGTAGCTCCGTAGTATCCAGAACAGTTGAGGAGTCAGCATTGGCTTAATTTTGGCTAGTAGGCCATTGTGCCAGACTCTGTCGAAGGCCTGCCTTATGTCCAAGTACGCCGCCACCACGTACTCCTTAGCCTCAAATCCCTCAAGGATGAAATTTGCTACCCTATTCAATTGTTCTGGTGTTCCGTGGGATTTTCGGAACCCAAATTGAAAGGGAGGGATTTTATTTGTCACTTCTTTTAAGGACAAAAGTCGTTTCAGCAGGCACCGCTCGAAAAGTTTGGCTATTGTGGGCAGTAAGCTGATTGGTCTGTATGAGTCCATGGAAGAAGGGCTTTTGCCAGACTTATGGATCATACAAATCCTCGCTTTCTTCCAGAGGGCTGGAATATGACCCAGTCTCAGTACTGCGTTGAACACAAGCACCAAGAACAACACTGCTTTGGCTGGCATCGCCTTGATGATGTAATTATCCAGGCCATCATCACCTGGAGCTTTTCTGCTTTTCAGCCCTTTTATGTGTTCAGTGACTTCCTCCACTGTAATGGGAGCAACCGGGGGACATAGCTGTTCCGGACTCTCGAGCGCCAGTTGTACTTCGTTTTGAGTGGTTGTTGAGCTGGTACTATATGGCTGGAACCGTGCCTCTAAGTCCAGTGCAAAAGCCTCTGCTCTTTCTTTTGGAGTTCTAGCCCAAGATCCATCAGGCCTTTTTATTGGAAACTTTGGAGTCACTTGCTGCTTGTACCGTTTAGCCAAAGTCCACAGTGAATGCTTTGAGCTTGCATCCGTGGTCGCTTTAGCAAGAAGTTCGTCATTTTTGTTTTGCTTGTGTAGTACCAGCAGCTTCTTTACTCTATTGGCTACTTTGCAATATACCCTGTCCACTATTGGATCCCGAGTGCGGCAGAATTGTCTTCTGAGCCTTCTTTTAATGAGCAGTAAAGTTTCAATTGCTGGCGGGAGTCTGTTTTGAGAGTTTAATCCATGCGAAAGTGTATTGGGAGTAGCGCATAGGGCAGCTGCATGTACCTTATTGAGAAAGATCGCATGCGCATCCTCGATGTCTCCTGGCACCAGTATTTCCAGATTTAAGTCAAGAGCTTGTTCCAATTCTCGACGAAATATAGCTATATCTGCCCCTCGTGGTAATAGACGAGCTTTCTGTACCTTTAAAACCGGAATACAGTCATAGGTGGCTACTAAAGGCAGGTGATCAGAAGAAAGCTGGAATTCTGTTCTTAATTTGAGGCTGTCTTGACGCAATCCATTAAAGACGAAAAAGTCAATAGCGCTGGGTGTGTGGCTTGCTACAGCAGGATAATGTGTTGCTTGTCCAGTTGCAAGAATTTGGGCAGAAGAGTTTTGGACTGCATTCTGCAAACATTTGCCTCTCTTATCCGCTCTAAAATTTCCCCAGAGTCTGCTTTTGGCATTGAAGTCTCCTCCAATAATGAATTTATTCCCAAGGTTACTAAATATTAGGCTGAAGTCTGCTTCTGACCATGAAAGTTTTGGAGGGAGGTAGAGAGACGACACAACCAAATCTCCTGAGCTTGTGGCAACTTGAATCGTAGCCATTTGTACATGTGCAGTCTTCACCGGGTCACAAGGGAAGTACGAAATGTCCTGTTTGACTAGGATCGCCGCTCCTCCTCTAAGTCTGTTGCTGGGATGGTCTGCTTTGAGGATATTGTAGCCTGGAAAATAGACGCAGATGCACTCCTGTAGCCAAGTCTCAGTGATGAGCATCACGTCTATGTTATGTTCTGTAAGAAGCTGCTTGAGTTCCTCAACATGTCCAGAAATTCCACGCGCATTCCACAATCCAAGGCTAAGTGTGCGTGTCATCATTTTTTGGCGTTCAAGAGACTTAAACACATTTGCTTAAGGAAGTGATTTGTCTCCTGCAGTTCCTTAAACATGGCTTGTAGTGTGTCAACTTTCGCTGTGAGGGCCTCAATAGCCGCCTCAAGCCTCGTGCTACGGTTTGTGTTTATGTGTTGCCAATTCTGTTCCTGGTTGTGTATGTCCAAGTTGTCTCTTTTTTCTATATTAATTCCCTTTTTTGAGCCCGAGTTCCGATCAGAATTGTGTACGCTAGTACGGGTACGAAGCGCCTCTGCGTAAGAAATGTTCTCTTGAACCATAGCTGCAGGAACAAATTCTTGCCGATTTTTTGGATTACTGGCACGTTTAGCTATATTTATAATTGGCTTCCGTTGTTCAGCTTTGGCTTTGTAGACACGGCATTCCCTAGACCAAGCCGGGTGACTACCTCCACAATTGGCGCAACAAAAGCTTTCCAACGAGGTTTCCTTGCATTGCGCAGTTGGGTGAGTATAATTTAAGAAACAAAATCAGTTCAAATTTTAAATTTAAATCAAAGCTGAACTAAAAAAAATGCATGTGCGTGAGCCAAAAGCACGGCTTCAATTGTTGATGCTACTGCATTGATAAATACCACGTCATAAATACATACATATGTACATATATACATAGTATACAAGTAAAATATTTATGTGCATACACAAATAACAAATTTACAAACACTACGTCATGTGTTAAATATTTAAATGCCAACAACCAAATAAAACAGAGCGCCAGTATCGAACAGTGACGCGAGTTGTATTTGCGCGAGGTCAACCGTTGGTGCCGATGCTGCTGCAATTGTGGAGCCAGGCAGCACCTCATATTTTAAATCAAATAATGTCGAGGTACATATGTTAGCTACCCGAAGTCCGCCTTGCACCCACTCCCCCCTTTTAGCACGTCGAAGACCTCGTTATTAAACGATTGAAGTTGAACAAAAAAGAAATGCTTAAGCTCTTAACTACCCACAAAAATAAAAAAAAAGGATTTTTTTAATACTTTTCAAATGAATTTATTTTAAAATAAATTTATTTTAAAAATTAAAAAAGCTTAAGCATAATTAATTTTAAAAATTAAAAAAGCGTACATAGAGTCGTCCCTTAATGGGCACTTCTTCTGGTCAGTATACTTTTTAGAGGAAGTTCATCTCTCTTGATCGGACATGGACACTGTTTTTTGAAAAATTGTAACAAAAGCCTCAATTGGCTGGATGCAAACCTCTTACAAGTAAAAATAGACGCCAACATGTATAGGCACATCCAATTTTAGATACAACCTCTCAGCCGGACGCGTACATCTAGTTAATGTTGTTGCAAAATAAATTCAACATGTTTTTATTTAGCTAAGGAATTGTCGCAAAAGAAAAATACATACAAATATTAACGTCGATTTTTTTCTGTTATTTTTGAAGCCAATCACTGCACTTCTAAACGGCATGTTTTTACTCAAAAAAGGGAAACGTACAACAAGTTTCAAAATGCAGCTATAAATTATGTAGTATAAGTACAACTATGTATGCATGTAACATTTATAACACTTGAAAGAATTTCATTCTTCATTTTTATTTTTGATTGTGATTGATTAAAGGCTTATATAATTCATAACTGAATAATGCCACTTTATTTTAATCGCCTAAATGGAAAAACAGCTGAAATAAGCAAGAAATTAAAAAAAAAATGCAACACTTGTACTACATACATATTATGTATTAATCGGAAATTCCCCTCGAGCTTGAACACAAGTATTTCAGGCAGCATATTAGCCAAACCAAAGATCTTCGGAAAATATACCGAATTTAATGTCCCCCCTACAAAAAAAGTCCACCACACGTTCATTATTATGACGCACTATTTCGCGTTAAAATGGAACTGAGTTGGATTTGTTGACGTTTTTTCATTGATAATATGCATAAATTATTTTTTAAATGCATTGTGCATTATTTAATCAACATTTTAATTTTTTGGCCCCCCGTTTAATAAAAGCTGTGTACGCTTACAAGTTATAGCACTTTAAATTTGACAGCATTAAATTGTCCAATTAGACTAGGAGTACTGTACTGTACCAATTGTACGGCCACAGTGATCGATCATTATTTCAGCTTGGGGGTACAAGTCCTGGACAAACGTGTCCTTATTTAAGGTCTGCTTTCGATGCACATAAGATTGGAAAACAAACAATTTTTATACATTGCAACCAAATTCACAACTCAACTCGGCGCTTATATGCTGGTGCTTTCTTCACTGAAAATGTACTGCCGTCCATGGTAATGAATTATATTAGTTAGAAAAATATATCACAGCAAATATACTACTACTGTACAAGTTAATCAAATTCAGACACAATTATACTCATATATTTAGAAAATTAATAGATACTACTTAATTATAGTTTTTTAAGCATATATATAAATGGATTTATGAATATACAAACATAACTTAGAATCGTAATCAAACTAAGCAACACACTATCTAATTTGTCTTCAGCTTGACCTGAGGGTCTTCATCATCCTCATCTTCTTCCGGGTCGCGTCGCCTTGCGAGTGCTAATGTCCAACAGATAATCCAAATTGGCAGGAAAACAGTGCAAACGGCAAAGTAAAGCCAGTTACCATAGATCTTAAATACAATGCAATTAATGGGAAAAGGTTTGATAAAATATCCAATAAATCCATTAGCTTACCACTGAATCTATGAGTGCGAATGTGACGGCGTCCATGGCAGCAATGGCCGCCCGTAAGAGCAGCTGCTGTAGCCCCAGTTCAGGAAACTGATAGAAAGTCATAATGAGAACAATGCCATAGATAATAACCAAAGGATTCAGCAGTAATGTGTAAACACGGATCAAAGCGCGTAACCCGACACTGCTGCTCTCAGGAGTGTCCGGTGCGTTTGTGTTTAAAGCTATCACCAACGGCACCGAGATGACGGCTACAAAGAAGCCCAGGGCGAAATTCAGGAGTCCAACCACGATCAGTGCACAGCCATATATGAGTAGCAGACCAATGTGTAAGAGTTCCAAGCCACCAGGAGGGAGCACCACAAAGAAAGGAAGCACAAAGCCGATCAGCATCAATGTGGTGAGTAAGGAAGCCGTAAGCGGTGCAGCACTCATCGGGATTTCCTGAAAATATTGTTGTAGTGGCAGCACATTGCCCAAATAGCCGATAAGCAGAGCAGCCGTCAAGAAAATAAGCACGGAACCATAGGGAAGGGGAAGTTTGTCCGATGTATCAGAATCGTTTATCTCAGGGGCGCCGGATGACTCGGTGTCCAGCGTCGACCATGTAAGATAGGCCTTGATAAAAGCACAGGCCACTAAAGCAACCAAGGCGGGCATATAATCTCCAATGGATATGTAACGATCATTGTGCACAATAACATAGAAAAAGAAACTTTGATGGAAACGCTCCAGTAAGTTGTTTAAACTGCGCGCAATGCCCTCAATAGCCTTTAAAAGAGGTATGGCTACTGAATTGGGGCTCGTCTTGATATTGCTATGCGTTGTACGCTTCATGGCTGCAATAGTCAGAGCGTCGATGCGATATCGGTGAAATAGGCCATGATTGCCATTGGGCACCCCAGAGCTCTGTGTAGTGAGCATAGCAATAATATGGCGCAGGTTCTGCTCGAATGTCGAGAACGTTGAGCGACGAGCTTTGCGCGGCGTCTGCTTATAACCAGAGCTGATGCCCTCGCGCGCCATTATGCGCTGCACCAAGTTGAACATATCTAAGTTGGGTAGCTTGCCATTAAGGCCCTCAATCTTTACATCAATATAATCTGCAATAAAAATGTTTAGTTTTGTTAAGTTTTCACCATTCGCCGTAGCCATGTTATTACCGATATCAAGATCCTGAACTTCAATATTTAAAGCCGCTTGCAAGGAGCCTGCACGTGCCGGCAAATTGCCGGGAAATAGATACGCCTTGGTTGGATCTACTTCTCTATCGCCATCGTGATACGCCTCTAGCCAAGCCTGCATTCCTAGCTGCTCTTGCTCGGTCACCAGAAATATCAAGTCTTTGGCCCAATAGTTTTTCCCTATAACGAAATCAATATTTTGCAAATACTAACAGGAGCTTGAAAATGTTTTCAAATTTCCAGCTCACTTCGCGCGAATTCCGCAAACGCCAGCAGCAACGGCACACTTGGAGATATATCCGGATGAACAGAGCTCGGGGCCCTGTACGGCGCTGAAAACACAATACCCTCAGTGGAGCCAATGCGAGGAGCACGGAGTATGCCGTAAACATTCTTGCCATGATACTCCTTCCCACCGCCAAACGGATACCGCAGCGTGTAGTTGTGCGTGTGTGTCTCCAGACCAAACTCATTAAATTTGGCCGTTATCCAGGCATATGGCGTTGTCGCGGTATGATCCTTGCGCTCTCTCTGCAGTTCCTCCAGCAATTGCACTGTCAGTCTATTGGCATCTATGCGTATTTCTGGATAAACCAGACCTGTCAAAACAAACAAAATAACTTCGTAACTTCCACTACTCCATTAATCAATTGGGGCGTTGTCATTTACCCGGCGACAAGGCGTTTTCTGATAAATAGGTGCCGTGGTTAAATTCTGGCAGCGCCAGGCAGAAAAACCAAACTACGCCCGCGGCGTAAAAGGTGTAGCAGACCTTCCGCACATGCTTTGCTAGACTATCCACGAGTTTGTTGTGCGTCGACAACGATGGATCGGACAGCAGACCCATTTTGCAAGTTTAGCTCAGAATACGCTATCAATTTCTAAACGCAATCAACACATATTAATCAAAAATATATCAAACTTCTGTGTAATCAGCCAGTGTTGAAAAGTCTCACGCACCGGCGACCAGGGCTGGACATTTTCAGCATTGCCCAACACTCCAAAGATTAAACAAGAAAGGAATAATAGAGTCAGGCTCGTAAATACCCTGCACATATGTGTACGCACTACGAGTTTATTTTATTATTTTTTTCACAACGCCTTTCGTATAATAACCTATGTATATCTCGTTATTGTTGGATGTTTTTCACCCCCAAGTTTTTGAGAAAACAACTCTTCTAAAAGGTAATTGTTTTTGTATATGTACATTCAAAATGTTTTTGTTAATCAATTGTAAGTGCAAGGTATGTAACAGACAGATGGTAGCAGTGGCCCCTTAAAGTATACACATATATTCTGTATAAGCGAAACAACACATACATAGGTATATGGAGTACATACATACATATATATGTATATAACAGCGACGTAGTTTTGTTTACGTTCGTGTATACGAATGTAAACAGATAAGGCGTTTGATAATCTTCTCAAAAGGTAAAAATGTTGTCTTACATAGGCATTTTGGCAAAAGCCATTGCATGTGCATCTGAACAATTGGTACATTAATAATGCAATACGGACAGACGGTCATGGCTATATCGACTCGTCTTGTCATCCTGATCAATAATATATGAATATACCTTGTGGGATCTGCCACGCCTCCTTCTGTGTGTCACATACATTCCCACAAAACTAGTATACCCTTTGGGTACAGGATATTAAAAAAAAACAATCAAACAATTACATTGTATTCAAAATCAAACGTACAGTAGTTATACATTTATACATATATATGGTATATTATAACATTATAATTTATGCAAAAAAAAATAGAAAAAAAATATTACACTAGACACTTATGTTCGAAAATGACTTTAAAGGTATTACTGGGGTGGTGGAAGGCCTGTAACGAATAGAGATTTAGATGTTAGTCGATGTCATTCAGATGATACTATGAGGGATAAAGCTTACCCAGCCTTGGATGAACCGTATTATGGGGTCTCCAGTCCAAACAATCCAGATCTATTGTCAACTTAGGTCGTTTATATTGTGGTAACTGAAGCAGATCATTAATGGTCTTGGGCGTCACGCAGATTACGTGCTGACCTTTCCAATATTTAATCATTTTCATCGACTGAAGCGTATAGATGATGTCGTCGGTTGTCATGCCACTGAGTTCACTAAGTTCTTTAATGCTCTGAGATGACGAGCGACACTCCTTCATTAGCTCCAGCAATGTGTAGCCCCAGTAGCTGCGATAGCTCAGCCGGCCAAGATCCGAAAGCGGTTGTTCAGGGCTTCCAATTACACCCTCCTTGCGCGACAATTCATAACTGAATGCGATTAAGAGCTTTCCATAGCCCTTTCTTTGATGTGGTGGAAGAACTAAAATACATGCCACATTGTAATTGTCTAAGGACACTTTCTCCTTGGAAAAGTAGCCCACAATGTGACTGCCCTCCTTGTCAATCTCGCAGAGTATATAGAATAGGAATGGATCCATGTCGAAGTAGAGAGCCTTGTGATCCAAAAACAATTTCGCCATCAAGCAAAGCAGCTGACAATAAAGAGCATCATCCTTGCCATTCACTTCGTATATGGAAATTGTGTCTTTACGATAAATTTCACGTCCAGGTGGATGGCGACGTGTGCATTGTTGCAAGTGGTAGCGATAGCTCTTTTCTAGCCTCATGTACTTCAGACAATACTCGCAAACATAAAGGGTTTGCGCATTACGATACTCACCAGGAAAGGGGCTGAAGTACCAAGTAACGATTTCATACTTTCCAAACTGCAGCTTATCAATATATTTGATTTTGGTGATGGACTGATGCTCCTTCTCCACTGCCGCCTGTAAGGCGCTCAGCTCCGCATAGCTTTTTTGGACATGATTAATCTCGTCGTAGCGTCGCTTCTGGTATCGTGTCATTTTGCGATCACTATAGTCATAGCGCTGATTCTCGTTCGCCGTTAAAAAGTAATCCTTGTAAGGCTGACGCTTGTGTCGCTCTACGACGGCAGCTTGACTAGTGCCGGGCTGGGTAGGTGCGGTGATTCCACCCAAATCATCAGGATTGTCCGAAATTCGATGACGTTTAACCCATTCGTCCAGGCGACGATTAAGACCAACATAGTGCACGTAATACTCATTTGGTACAGAAGAATTGTCGGTTGAGCGTTGTTGGAGCACGTGAGCAGGATGCACGGTGCCGTCTGTGCGACGAATGTAGTATATCTTTTCCGGGTTTTCGTTGATATCGATTTGCTGCAACGGCGCGTCACCCTCGGCATCTGTCGTCTCCGTTGCTGTGATGGTTTCTCTTGAAGTGCTGTCCAGCTCGTTGTCGTCTTCATCGGTACTACTGCCTTCGTCACTTGTACTTGAAATGCTCTCAATCTCCTCGTTAAGCTCATTCCTTACGGGCGCCGGTGGTGGCGGCGGTGATGGCGGCTGCTGTCGTACCCTTTGGCGTGGATCCCGTGGGGTGAGCACAAAAGTGTGCTTGACTGGGGGTATATTCTCCTCTTTATTATTGCCTTCCTCTTCGTTATCATCTTCCTCATCGTCAGGCTCTTCTTCACTACTACTATCAATTTGTTCGATTTCTGGCTGGTCCTGTTGCTGCTCCTGCTTATTAACAATCGTCTGCGACTTTGGCCGGCTGCCGTCTAAGTGCTCCTCTGACTTATTAGATACATATCGTGCGTGCATAAATGTAGGAAGGTCCAGATCCTCACCATCATCGGTTGGCGATTGGGGTGTTTCGGGAACATTCGATAGGGCGGGATCTTCGTCAATATCAGGATCACCTCCGCAATATTCTTCCATATGTGCTTCCTCTTCCGTTTCAACTGAACCTACAGCTTCCGAGGTGCCAGAAGCATGTTTGCTTAACTCATCAGGGGCGCTGCTTTCGCCCAAATTCACTACAGTATTAGGCGATTGCTCATCAGTGCCCTCCTCGGTTCCGTCGTCCTCGCTGCCCTCTTCAGAATGCGATGTTCCTGATTCACTTTGCTCACCGCTGCTAGAGGAGGCACTGCTGCTGTCACTGCTAGACTGCGAGTCTATGCGCCTTCGCTTAGGTGGCTGCCCAATCGTCGTCATGTCGACAGACACGGGGCTGTCGTCACTTCGTGGGGCGCGCGGCACTCGAGTTTCTGCGTTCCCGCCAAATTCATCACCAGAGTCCCTATTTTCGATAGACTTCTCGGACCTTTCTGTCGGGTCAGACTCGGTAGATCCGCTAATATCCAAGCTGGCATTCAGCTCCGCAGCCGCATCATGGACCGGCGTACGCGGTGGCCCTCCCATTGCATAGTTATCCGAATTGTTTTGTCCGTCTAACGTCATAGGTTCATCGCCGCGTATATTCTCCAAGTCCGCGACGGACATTTTATATATGTTCCTCAGGATGATTTGTTTTTTCTTATCCGGGGTGCAACGAGATCTTTTCCTTAACCAATCCCCCAACTGTCTTATTTTTGTTGAGGTTGTACCTAAAAACACGCAAATGCAGCGAACTGCGTCGCTCGATAGAGCCGATTAAGATAGCAGTGTTGTGAAATAGTATAGCACATATCTAATACCGTTTTTTTTGCGCTCCAGCAGCTCGCACTATATTTTATGGCAGCAACAACAATAGAAATTATTTGACAAAATTCGCTTTTAATTTCTAAATGCAATTAACACACACTAATCAACAGTATATCAAATTTTCTCTTTGTATCAACCAGTATTGGGAAGTCTCACGCACCGGTAACCAGGGCTGGGATCTATCGTCATTCAATTTCCGTTTAAAAATGCTTATGCTATTAGCGGAGAAATTTTATTTATTATTATCATATACATCATATACACCACTGCGCAAGCTTTATAATAAAATATACACCATGTTTAATACATTAACAGAATGAGAACCATAATCCAAAATATTATTTATTAAATACTTTAAACTTTTCAAAGCAATATCATATTTCTTTATTAATTCTTTATAATTTCTGCAAGGTACAAGAGTAGTAGGAAGTTCTTGATAGAATTCTACCAGAATATAATTTTTTTGCAGATGTAGAGCTTCATTTAAAAAGAGCATTCAAACTGTTTTTGTTAACCAATTATAAATTCAAGTAATTAACAGAAAAACGCTAGCAGCAACTCCGATCCTTTAAAGTTTACATTCACATGTACACATGTATATAAATATGATATTTTATTGTGCTAGAAGAGCGTACGTTTCATACTAGTTAGTGTCGAAATGTATGCCATATATTTAATCATATAAGTGGGACCACAATTCACTACTTAAAATGGACACGAATGTAAGCGAGATAGATAGATCAGGCGTTTGTATTGGTGTAAGCGGTACAAGCTCATGAAAATTTATTACATATTTCACAAAAAATATTTGTAAATTCAGCTGCGAGTTGAGCTCTACTTGTAACTTAGTATGGTCTTTTAATTATAATACAAACAGCTTCTCAAAATTTTAAAATTTCACGTAAGATAGCAATTTAGCAGAAGCCATTGTATGAACACATAGTATATTAATATTACAAAACGCGAAGGATAGTCAAATAAAATTACATAAGTCCCAGAATTCGAATTCCTTACAAGGGCTTTTTAGTTTAGTAAAAACAAAATAAAAAAAAACAAACAAATACAATGTATTCAAAATTAAACGCACAATAGTTATACAGTTATACATATGTAGGTACGTATGTATGGTATATTATAACATTAAACTTTATGAACAAAAAAATTAAAAAAAAAAAACTATGCTAGACTTATGTTCAAAAATAACTTTAAAGGTATTACTGTGGTGGCGGAAGGCCTGTAACGAATAGAAATGTAGATGTTAGTCGAAGCCATTGAGATAATACTATGAGGGATAAGCTTACCCAGCCTTGGATGAACTCTATTATGGGGCCTCCAGTCCAAGCAGTCCAAATCTATTGTCAACTTAGGTCGTTTATATTGTGGTAACTGAAGCAGATCATTAATGGTCTTGGGCGTCACGCAGATTACGTGCTGACCTTTCCAATATTTAATCATTTTCATCGACTGAAGCGTATAGATGATGTCGTCGGTTGTCATGCCACTGAGTTCACTAAGTTCTTTAATGCTCTGAGATGACGAGCGACACTCCTTCATTAGCTCCAGCAATGTGTAGCCCCAGTAGCTGCGATAGCTCAGCCGGCCAAGATCCGAAAGCGGTTGTTCAGGGCTTCCAATTACACCCTCCTTGCGCGACAATTCATAACTGAATGCGATTAAGAGCTTTCCATAGCCCTTTCTTTGATGTGGTGGAAGAACTAAAATACATGCCACATTGTAATTGTCTAAGGACACTTTCTCCTTGGAAAAGTAGCCCACAATGTGACTGCCCTCCTTGTCAATCTCGCAGAGTATATAGAATAGGAATGGATCCATGTCGAAGTAGAGAGCCTTGTAATCAAGAAACAGTTTCGCCATCAAGCAAAGCAGCTGACAATATAGCGCCTCATCCTTGCCATTCACTTCGTATATCGAAAGAGTGTCTTTACGATAAATTTCACGTCCAGGTGGATGGCGACGTGTGCATTGTTGCAAGTGGTAGCGATAGCTCTTTTCTAGCCTCATGTACTTCAGACAATACTCGCAAACATAAAGGGTTTGCGCATTACGATACTCACCAGGAAAGGGGCTGAAGTACCAAGTAACGATTTCATACTTTCCAAACTGCAGCTTATCAATATATTTGATTTTGGTGATGGACTGATGCTCCTTCTCCACTGCCGCCTGTAAGGCGCTTAGCTCCGCATAGCTTTTTTGGACATGATTAATCTCGTCGTAGCGTCGCTTCTGGTATCGTGTCATTTTGCGATCACTATAGTCATAGCGCTGATTCTCGTTCGCCGTTAAAAAGTAATCCTTGTAAGGCTGACGCTTGTGTCGCTCTACGACGGCAGCTTGACTAGTGCCGGGCTGGGTAGGTGCGGTGATTCCACCCAAATCATCAGGATTGTCCGAAATTCGATGACGTTTAACCCATTCGTCCAGGCGACGATTAAGACCAACATAGTGCACGTAATACTCATTTGGTACAGAAGAATTGTCGGTTGAGCGTTGTTGGAGCACGTGAGCAGGATGCACGGTGCCGTCTGTGCGACGAATGTAGTATATCTTTTCCGGGTTTTCGTTGATATCGATTTGCTGCAACGGCGCGTCACCCTCGGCATCTGTCGTCTCCGTTGCTGTGATGGTTTCTCTTGAGGTGCTGTCCAGCTCGTTGTCGTCTTCATCGGTACTACTGCCTTCGTCACTTGTACTTGAAATGCTCTCAATCTCCTCGTTGAGCTCATTCCTTACGGGCGCCGGTGGTGGCGGCGGTGATGGCGGCTGCTGTCGTACCCTTTGGCGTGGATCCCGTGGGGTGAGCACAAAAGTGTGCTTGACTGGGGGTATATTCTCCTCTTTATTATTGCCTTCCTCTTCGTTATCATCTTCCTCATCATCAGGCTCTTCTTCACTACTACTATCAATTTGTTCGATTTCTGGCTGGTCCTGTTGCTGCTCCTGCTTATTAACAATCGTCTGCGACTTTGGCCGGCTGCCGTCTAAGTGCTCCTCTGACTTATTAGATACATATCGTGCGTGCATAAATGTAGGAAGGTCCAGATCCTCACCATCATCGGTTGGCGATTGGGGTGTTTCGGGAACATTCGATAGGGCGGGATCTTCGTCAATATCGGGATCACCTCCGCAATATTCTTCCATATGTGCTTCCTCTTCCATTTCAACTGAACCTACAGCTTCCGAGGTGCCAGAAGCATGTTTGCTTAACTCATCAGGGGCGCTGCTTTCGCCCAAATTCACTACAGTATTAGGCGATTGCTCATCAGTGCCCTCCTCGGTTCCGTCGTCCTCGCTGCCCTCTTCAGAATGCGATGTTCCTGATTCACTTTGCTCACCGCTGCTAGAGGAGGCACTGCTGCTGTCACTGCTAGACTGCGAGTCTATGCGCCTTCGCTTAGGTGGCTGCCCAATCGTCGTCATGTCGACAGACACGGGGCTGTCGTCACTTCGTGGGGCGCGCGGCACTCGAGTTTCTGCGTTCCCGCCAAATTCATCACCAGAGTCCCTATTTTCGATAGACTTCTCGGACCTTTCTGTCGGGTCGGACTCGGTAGATCCGCTAATATCCAAGCTGGCATTCAGCTCCGCAGCCGCATCATGGACCGGCGTACGCGGTGGCCCTCCCATTGCATAGTTATCCGAATTGTTTTGTCCGTCTAACGTCATAGGTTCATCGCCGCGTATATTCTCCAAGTCCGCGACGGACATTTTATATATGTTCCTCAGGATGATTTGTTTTTTTTATCCGGGACGTAACGAGATATTTTACTTCACTATTCACCCAACCGTCTTATTTATGTTGTGGTTGTACCTAAAAACACACAAATGCTTCTAGAAATGGTCGGAACGACGAACTGCCTCGCTCAAAAGAGCCGATTACGATAACAGTGCTGTGAAATAGTATAGCACATATCTAGTCCCAGTTTTTTTGCGCTCTGGCAACTCGAACTATATTTTAAGGCAGCAACAACAATAAAAATTGTTTGTTGCCACTAAATCAAGAATTAACATTAGTAGCTTTGTTTGTGCAAAATGTCAACATTAAATCGTCCCAAATCTCCACATACGCCCACAACAATTAAAAAGGGCGAAAAGGAAGATAGCTTTTGGGACAAATTCAGTACATTGGGTCGCAAGCGTGGTACACGAGAAGGTGAGACATCCAAGTGAAAATGATGTGAAATCGGGAGACAATTTATTAACGTTGAAAAGTGCATAAAATACTGGCCTCCAGCTATGAGCAATATGCAAAAGGAATAGTTCAATTGGGAAGTTGCAAACTGTTGTAAGAAATTACTGTTGGGAAGCCCTTAAGTGTATCTGCCCAAGGTTTCTTAGAACAGATGTGCGCGCCTGCCTATAATTATAATCATTGCGTCACTAATATACACACAAACATGTGTATGATACATACACAATCAACCAGCAAACAATTTGATTGAATTGCTGTAGTAGGTAGGTATGAGTTAATGCGTTCGTGTAGGCGCAAATCAAGCACACATATTGCAAATAAACCAATATGTTTTCTATTAAGGAAGAGTGCCAATGACGTCAACGCTCAATGCTTTTATTCTTTCTTAGACTAATCTTCCTTTTCCTTTGCATTTGTGCGCAGTTAAAAAAATCCAAGAGGAGGGCAAATATGCTATCGACTCGCCAGGCTCACCGAACCAATATGACATACCACCTGAGGATTATGCCCTGCGTAAGAACCACACACCTACACATATGAATGAATTTATGCGTAATAAATGTAAATTACAGGCGAGCACGAGCAACGCGCTGTCATTGACCCTCAGTCCATCAATGATCCGGAGGTGATGAAGCTGCAACGGATACTTATCGATTGGATCAATGACGAACTGGCTGAGCAACGCATCATTGTCCAGCAGCTCGACGAGGACATGTATGATGGACAGGTGCTGCACAAACTCTGGGAGAAGCTGACGGGGAAAAAGTTAGATGTGCCCGAGGTCACACAGTCAGAGCAGGGTCAGCACGAGAAGCTAAACATTGTGCTGAAAGCCGTCAATCATGTGAGAAATCCATTCAGCATTCCAGAATCCTCATCACATTTTGATCCCCTTTTTGTCCGCAGACTCTTGGCTTTCATCAGAAGATACCCAAATGGTCTGTGGCCAGTGTACATTCGAAGAATATTGTGGCCATATTGCATCTGCTGGTCGCCCTGGTGCGTCACTTCCGTGCTCCGGTGCGTCTGCCTGAAAATGTCTTTGTGACCGTGGTCATTGCGGAAAAGAACGGAGGCGTGTTGAATGCACAGTAAGTCTCGAAATGGTACAATTTTAATTCATATGGGTCTCATGTGCTTCCCTATCCCTTTAAAGGAAGTTCCAAGAGCAAATCACCTCCGAGTATGATGATTTGGGCATGCGTTGTGAAAAGGATGCATTCGATACACTCATCGATTGCGCACCCGACAAATTGGCTGTCGTGAAGAAGTCTCTAATAACCTTTGTCAATAAGCATTTGTCAAAACTAAATTTCGAAATCAACGACTTGAACACGGACTTTCGAGATGGTGTCTATCTATGTCTGCTGATGGGTCTTTTGGGAGGCTTCTTTGTGCCGCTTCACGAATTCCATTTAACGCCCCAGGATGTCGATCAGATGGTTAACAATGTGGCATTCGCATTCGATTTGATGCAAGACGTAGGCTTGCCTAAGCCAAAGGCACGTCCTGAAGATATCGTCAATATGGACTTAAAGTCAACATTGCGAGTGCTCTACAGCTTGTTCACCACATTTAGGGATTATGCCTGATGTAGCATGCCAAGTTCTATCGTTGTCAACATATAATATATGTGTGTGTATTTTTTTTCTTTTATTCATATGTGTTTATGATTATTTATGTTTAGTTTTAACTCTCAATTTTGCTAACCGTCTGAGCTGGATCTGCCAACGCCACCTTATCGCTTCCTTTTCCCCATTAGTTAACTTGTCTTTGTCAAATGGTACCAAACCGTTATTGTTACTAAACGAATTTTTACCTTGTGTATTAATAAATGTGCCTTTACTATTGTAAGGTCCCCCGAAACGGGTAATTTAAATCCTCAATTGGGCGGTACAAATAATGTAGGCAATGCTTTTGGAAATTGTGTTTTTATTTTCATGTCACACGGAAATGAAGTTTTAAATAAAATAAATACAGATTCGTAAAATTGGCATTGCGCGTTCTAAAATTAAATCGTGTATTTTAACATTTTCGGTGTGAATGACCAAATAAGTAGCAGAATTTATTTTAATCCAGTATACCAGATTTCAAAATTCAGTGGCTGACGCTAAAGCGCCATCCCAAAAAAAATACATCCTTGACTATCTGCACATGTGAGTTCCAATTGGTTTCGAATTATTGACAACCGTGCTTATTGCTTCTACAGTGTTGTTGACAATTCACAATAGTTGAAGCTCATAGTAACAGAGCTTGCCAGACTTTACAATTTTGCAGCGCATGCCATAAATTGCACTTGTTGAGCGCACAAAGTTACAAATGCTGGCTATATCACAATCTCAATAAATAAACAACAAATATAGCACTCTACAACACCTCTACAACTATAAACTAAAGCATTGCAAGAACTCAGAGCTAAAAAAGTTTCTACAAAATGAACCATTTTTGTTACCAATTGTACCAAGGTGGCAACCATGCTTTTTATGATTTTCACAACAGCTGAGCGCAGTTTCAACATATTAGGTCAGTCGGCAACGACATTATTTCGACGTCATAGCTATCAAAATAAAGTAGCACCAACACGCGAGGGCGCCCGTTTAATTGTACGCCGCCTGCAAAAGACCGTATTGCGCGTCCTGCGGGATCCGCAAATAAATTTCGCCATGTCAAAGACAGCTTATCAACAGAATCAGGAGAAGGAGCCACCGGTTGAGGAAACTCAGTTTGCCCAGCATAGGAAGAACAAGCAGGAGAATAATTGCCGCACCTGCAACGATTTCAAGTCATGGTCTAAGCAACAGCGCCTTATATCCAATACACAAGCTTCAAAGGTATGTGCATATAAAAGTCTAGCACATGGCTTGCTGCCCCCTCTAACTCTTCAATTTATTTTTTTTTAGGAAAAACACATGGCTGTCGCTGAGAAATTAACGGTGAATGCGAACAATGTGGCGCCTCGTGATGATTGCCCGTTGGACAAAGTGCGTCTTGGAATATCCACGTGGGGTCTGCTCCATACCATGGCCGCGTTTTACTCTGATAATCCGACGGATAATGAGAAACGAGATATGAAAACGTTTTTTGAAGTGCTTTCTCGTCTGTATCCTTGCGAGTACTGTGCCAAAGACTTTCGCAGCGAGTAAGTGCTTATTTAACTATGAATGTGTTTCTTCTTATTAACATCATGCCATCTCTTTCCCACATGCAGCTTAGACGTGAATCCGATCAATGTCAACTCGCAGAAGGAGCTAGCCATGTGGCTTTGCAAGTTCCACAATCGAGTGAATGACAAGCTTGGAAAGCCACTATTTGACTGCAGTAAAGTGAACGAGCGGTGGCGCGATGGCTGGTTAGATGGTTCCTGTGATTAGATCTACATAGACCGAATAGTCCATTTATAATACTAGCCCCCCACATTATTATTCGACAGTTGCACGGCTTATCGAATTTCATCATCACAGTATCATAATTACCATTAACTACCCGCTCCAGTAGGAAAAACTGCTCCCATTGTTGTCCAACATTTTTTGGCGTCAGCTACGCCAATTACAATAGTAGCAGCAAAACTATATATCATCATCGAACATAGACGTCATTCCCACCTAAATGAACGACCTAACGCCCTCGTTAGCGCCATGAAATTGTAATTGTTTACGTTTAATCCTGTGCTCCGTTTCCTTTTTCTTATCCATGTTTGAGCTTAAGCATTGCTTTACCCATTGGTCGGCGCTGAAAAAAGTCAAGCCAGAGGCACGTTGAAAATCTGTTAGATGATGAAAACATAACGAGCTGCATTTCAAAAACTAAATTTCGTATCTGCTGTGTATTATACTATACTGTTAAGAATGTGGAATGCCAAAAAAAAAGAATCATTGTTGTTATTGCCGCAGACCGCAAACTTCACAATAACTTTACATTCACACATAAGTATGTATGTGTACGTGGTTGCCTTTCACAGCGGATTTTTCTTATCTGTTAGCTGCGAATAAGCCATAAGACAAGCACATTAGAATTTAGCATTTAAGATATACATAAATAGCAGTTATGGGGCTATTTCATAAACTTTATGACTATGTTACAAATCGCAGTTTTAAAGCATTTTCTTTGTAAAATGTAAGGTTTTACGCATTAAACGCATTGACAATAAATCTATGCTGCTTAATTTTGATTTGCATACAAGCCAGCTTTTTAAATGGAAAGAAAAAACTTTGGACCGCCATTCGACCAGTGTGCACACACCTCAAGCTCATATTTCTATAATCGGTATGTGCGATACCACGGAAACATTGTTTTCGGTGCTATGGAGTATCGATAATATTGGCTCGGGTCGCAGTCTTGTTTTTACGCGTTGCGGAGGTAGCAACAAAAATTCTTGCTGTCTTTTTTTCTTGTGAAGTTCGCTATACAAGAGAAATGTATAGGAAAGTTATAATATAAGTGGAAGTGTGCATATTACTGTAATAATAATATGTATAAATGATAAATTGCAGTTACACCTTTTGTCAATAGATTTGCACGACGATAACATCAACAACAACGGCAATTGCGCGCTAGCAAATAAAAGTTATATATTTTACTACTATATCCACGTGCGTGTGTGTGTAATAGAGCGTTTGCGTGTTTCTTTTGTTTAATTTATAAAAACGCGCAAATCCAAAACCGCATTAAACGACATTCAAAGTTACCAACAGTGCTGCAAACGTTGTCAGTAAGATGGCTCCGGCTTTAAGCAAATTAGCGCAAAATCAAAGTGCCATCGTCGGCGTCGCGGGCATGACGGCGGCACTTTGGATAATTGCCTATGGCAAATTGTCCAACAAGAAAAGGTAAGTTAGGCGTGAAAGTGTGGCATGCTTGCGCACGTTCATTTATAGTGTAATGTGTGAAATGTAGTAGTTGTTGCCAGGAGCAGCAACAACGCTTCTGCAATAATAACACATTGGAGGTAGTCTCTTTTAGCCGAATTGCTTGCACTGTTGCTGTTTAGTCTGACATTGAATTTTATTTATTATTTATTTTTTGAATCGTATACTTACATTGCACATAAGCCCATAAGCTCCACACACTTTCAAATACATCTTTCTATACATACCATACCCTATATATGTTATACCTATATACATGTACATATATGTAAAAAAAAATAGTTGTGCGTTATGTATGCATATAAATATGTGTGTGAGCGTTGTTGATTCGAATCGTACGATGCGTTGTCGCTGGGTACTTCACTGGGTCATTGGCGCGCTGTTGCTGGTCATTTTGGGACTTAAACTTGTTTTATTGCCACTTTCCGTATTTGATAGGTTGCGTCTGCGGCTGTTGCTGCAGCAATAGGGCCATCGTCAGCGCCTCCACTTTTCCATGAAGCTTGTGTGAGTGAGTTTTTCAAGGACAACTACCTGATTATTGGCCAGATCTGATATTGACTGGGAACCCATTTGACGGACGCTTCCACTAAGTCGGTCGTCGTTGACCCAATTGTGGAGCGCCTGTTTTGCGCAATGTCTTGCAATTAACAGCTCCACAACACATACAAACACACAAAAACATTCATTTATTTATGCATTTATACGCTGCTCGGACCACTGCAAGATAGGTACACTATATGTAATGAATATACTGCGACGTCAGGCTGCTCATTATTTTTGGTCTTTTTTGACTTGCAATACACAACAACACATACCTTGCAATTTTTGTGTTTGTTGTTGTTGTTGTTGTTGGGCTGTGGTCATTGAGTCTGAAGCAACTATTTCTCAACATTATGGTGCAAGTGGCTGCAATTGATCACAGAATGTGCCCAGTAATTGTCCATTACCCCCTGCTGCGTTTAATAATAATAATGGAGCTTTTTAAGTTTTTATTTATTTATTTTTTCTTACCTACGTTGATTTTATGAATTGACTGGGGGAAACAAACATATCGAAGTTATCGTACTTTACGTATAACTTTAACAACCATAAAATCAAATGTTACAGAAAATCTTCATTACCATGCAAATGATAGGCTATTGCTTGTGTACAAAATGATTTCAAGAAGGCGTAACAGATCTTAATAATATTTGAAATTGCATGTATGTATGTATTATTGATCAACATTGCGAGACGAATCGCTTATATCGGCCATATCCATGTGGATAACATATAATCAGTGCTTGAAAATACGCTATAATTCTTAGCTAACTTCTCTTTACCCATTCTGGTGTTTTCTAATCAAATATCGGCCGGAGCTCCTGTGCAGATTTGTAATACCTAAAGATAACCTTGAACCTGATCGAAGTGTATATTCATGTAACGTTTGTCGCTCATCACAAATTAATAAAAGTAAATTTTAAAGTACAATCCATATGTATATGCTCGTACCTAAGGTTTTATTTTTAAACAATATTAGCAAAACTGTTTTACAATATTATTTACTTCTATTAAAATTAAAACTATAAGCTATTTTTTTAGAATGTTTATTATTACTTTTAGGTTGCCTGCTGTAGGGTTTGAGGGTTTGTGGGGACATTCAAAAATATATGAAGTAGCAATCGAAGAGGTCATAAAATTTGAGGTCCCTTATAGCTGGGGTGATTGATGCGTTCAGACATAACTATTTGATTTAGTCAATTTATACATAAACAGTTTCAAAACTCCTTTTATTTTACATCACTGTAATGATTGAGTTAATATGTATATATAATATCTAACTGGATTTACTGCGACATTTTGGTCCGACCATATCAAGTTTGGTGGCTCCAGCTTTAATCAATGTGTTTAGGCTGTCAAGCACAAATGTATTGTATTGCCAGTACTGCTATAGATGTCGATTTTGACACTTCGTCTCAAAACTTTTGGCGAATACTGTAGGCAGAAATTCGCACATTCAATTTGTACATGTTGCTGTGCAGCTTGCAACAGCTGGTTGGATGTCCAATTGTCTAATTGTGCAAAGTTGCCAATCGGAGTTGCAACAGCCGGGCGCCGTGTTCGCTATGCTTGTGTTATAACTGTTATTTGGCCACAGCACAGAGTTACGGTGGCCCTGTCTGATGTGCATGCAAATGGTGTAGCGAGTGAATTAATTAGAAGTTATAATTAAGCGCCAACTTGGCTCAATGTGCGCAATGCAGTTAATGATTTATTTATAACACTTTCAATTGTTACCTCAACTCTTGCTCTTGTTGTTCTTGTGTGTACTTTGAGCCGCGGCCAGTGTGGAGCAAAAGTTCAAATATTTGGCCCACTGTGGCGATCGTTTGCCGGTTACCTAACTTTTCCACGTTTATATAAATGATTAAGGTTGTGGCTATGTTCAGCTAAGCACTTAAAAGTCGCACTAGCGTGTGTTTGACTAGAAAACTGTGACTGTGCAAAGTTAGCAGGCTGTTTTGTTGTTATTGTATTTATTTTTGTAGGCCCTGTCCACACTATGCGGGCACTCATAAATTTTTTACAACCAATCGCAATTGACTCTAGCAACAGAAACTCAAAGAAAATTGTATGGTTCGCTATATGCCGATATTTGTTTATATCTTATCTCAGAGCTAAAATCGACATATGTATAAAATGCAAAGCTTGTGTGAAGGTTTGTTCGAGTTGGATCGATTTAGCTTGGTCTGGTTCAAGGTTCTCATTTTATTTTTGAACTGCACCTCATGCATTCAATTAAATCTTTTATAGAAGAGAAGCGCACAGCATGGCAACTAAATTATATTAATTCTGACTATTGTTGCACATTAACCTTATATAGCAAGTGAGCAGACGAGATGCTAATAATCGCTGTTATTTCTATTCGTCTCTGTCTAGACTCTAGAGCCATCAAACTTCTCAGATTCGTACGAATAGCACGGCCTTTAAATGTATATATGTTTCACTATTTTTTAATAAACCTGCCGTGGGAACGACGAATATAAAAGCATTTTAGTAGATAAATATTTACATATGTACTTATCCCACAATGTACGTATGTATTGTAGGTATGTATGTATATACGACAGCTCCGTTAGAAATTCGCAGTAATAATATGCACTGCTCAATTAAATTCTATATATATGTACATTTAATGATAATGATACTAAGGTATCCCATTATCAAAACGCATGATTAATAAAAAGTGCTTACTTCGGTAACATTGGTTCTATTCAACTCCAACCTATAACCAAACTGTGTATATAGACACAATTGGAGCAAATACCCCCAACTAAATGAAAAGACTCACTCTTATAAACTCTTTGGCACATATTTATGTACGTTTTTACGTAGCCATGCTAATGTAGATCACCGCCACATTCCAATGCCCAGCTATAAATTAAGAGAATAATTTGATATGCTTTAGAAAATTATACGAAATGGCAGAATTTCATTTCTATTGAATGATACAGGTAGGTTCGAATGAGTATGTGAGAGCAGAATTTTATTTGTTGGTCTTTTTTATGTGTACTTTGATCTGAAGTAATCTCGGCCACATGTTTTTATCAGCCATAGTTTTATGACTGGCTCGAGGGCGCTTGTTTTTGGATGCTTACATGGGCCTTGTGGCGTGGGCTGAAATTTGCTTTGTCTTGCAAAAATGCTTAATGCATTCACTCGTTATTAATACTTTTTCCATTTGCTTGTTTTTGCCACGCGGGTGTTTGTTTATTTTTTCTATACTTCGGAAATGCAATAAAGACGCAAACAGTTAATTGCTCGAAGGGGAATAACAACAATGCATGCCTTCAAAAGCGAATTCCTCATATTCGATTATTGTCTTACCCAACTAGCTGACCTTTAAAGCCACAAAACAAGTTGGTTTAACTACAGCAAATCGCATTTCCATTATTGTATTGATATGGTCACGTATATATTTTAATACATGATCAATATTCGCCACTTGTTAGTGTTAGGTAACACAGTAGTTGGTGTTAAAATTAATCTATAGTTTGTGTTTTTTACCAATGCAAGCACATTTATATTCTACCCTATAATTATGAGTTAGTTAGTATTAAGGTCTGCTATGGCCCAGCAACATTGGTTCACACTACTCTACTTCACTTTATTCTGCTCTTGTTAAAAAATGGAAAAACTTAAAAGGCGTACCAAGGAAAATAGCATTTTCAAGTCAATATTAGTGGTAAAAGCTCTTTTATAATTTTAATGAATTGTGTTTTTTTAAACATGCTTTTCAAAAACACACTTGCCCTGCGCTGATTTTGGAGCGAATCGTCACACCAAAACTATTGACCCCCAGTCCTTATAGTACTTTCGGCAATATATATATATACACATAGTTCTTCCCCTCTTATTAAAGAAATATTGCATTTGTCGGGGCACCCGTCCTCCATAGCTCTCCTCAGTTCACAAGAGTGTGCAATATGCTGCAGGTATGGGAACCGCAACTTTGACATTCCCGCAGATTAACTCAATTTCAAAGGCGAAAAGCAAATATTCGTATATACATATATAGTTGTTGACGACTAATTGGAAACAAATATATTGGTTGTGATTTTCTTAATTTCTTTTATAAAATTCGTAATGCGCACTGAAAGATTTACACAAAATTTAAATGTTCGACATATGTATGTATGAATTTCACAAAACTCAACTTTAAGTTCAAGTCAGCAGTTTTAATATTTTATTTTTGAGTGTGACAACTAACATCGAAAATGTACATAATAGAAAGGACAAAATTCAAACAATATTATCTAACAAACAAAATCTATAAATGCAAATATCTTTAATAGTACGTTTCTGTTTTAAAAACAGCGCTGTATCGACAATTAATTGACCTTATAAGGTGCTTGCACCTCTGTCGACCATGCTTTCTTGATTTCTTCGAATAATGTATCTAAATTTCTTTTGTTCAG